TGTGAATTGATTCCTTCATCCTTCACGCCAATGGGGCTCTTCAAACAGATGAATCCTATTCAAAACAGAAAGGCAATTTCTAACCCCCATTTTGGAGACAGAGGGATGCACAGTGCAAAAGGTCTATAATGGTTCATCTCAAAATGAGCAGTGTACCCCAGACATCTGTTCTGTGTGTTCCTGCTCCCAGCCAAGACTCCAGCAGCAGGGCAACACCAGCCACACTGCTGCCAGCAGCTGGCTGTCATCCCACTGTGGTCCCATAAGGACATAAAGCTTTGGGGATAATATAATGATGTTTCTGTAAGTGATAAAAGAAAAGGGAAAAACCTCGGTGCACCCCTGCACTCACGAGATTGAAAAAGGACTTGAATTTTTAAAATTTATTGGTTTATAAAAAGCAACACCAAAACAAGGGACTGTGAGATGGAAAAAGGGGAGTAAAATGATATTTGCAAAAGATATAGGTTATTTATTACCAATGCTTTTTCTAAACTAGTCTGCATTCCTAACATATTCATCTACTCAACTCAATAAGAGATTGGGGTATGTAAAGAATCTGGGACTGGGTTTAATTTTCATGCTAGTCAAAGTGATTTTTCTTCAATCTATCATATACTGTATGTGACACATGGCTTTTCCCTCAATCAGTAATTGGTTGGTACATGCTTTGTACTCCAGTGAAGGAAGATTTAATACACTGGACATTGGAATGAGGTATTTTTGTCTTTTGAATGACAAATTTAATTTTTGTAAGCTGTATTGTACCATTGTTTCTACTAATTTCACATTCTTCACCAGCATTTTGGTCTATCATTTTGTAACTAATGTTTTACTTCAAGTGAACAAGGATCCTGAAAACATCAAAGGTGCTTTGACATGTCTCAATAGACCATGACAGACTCTTTCACTCTCTATATTTCTTAATATGGAGACATCTAGTGAAGGAAGAAACACAGGACTGTGGTAAACAGACTTAGGAAAAGTGACTCTCTGTTTTTTTCAGTGATGTTAACAGTGGAATTTCATTGCTTAGATTAAGTGGACTAGGGTATTGAGCAATTTATCTAACCAGCAAGCAGAGAGAAGCAAGAAAATTAGCAGTCATCTTCCACTAGAGATATTTTTGGTCTCAAACTGATTTTTTTTTAATCAAACTTAAAGTAATTTTTTTCTGGTTTCATTTTGAAACTTGATTTTGTGCATATTTTTTCTCTACGGAAGCAAAGGATTTTGATGAACAAAACTCTTAAAAATAGTTCTAGACAAAAGTCTTAATTAATACAAATTATTTTCTCAATCTTCTGGGAAAAAAAGGGCCTTATTTGCCAAAGCTTTGTATTTTATTCTCTTAAGAATTAAAGTTTTTAGGATTTCTCACTGCAAACCTTTCTTGGTTGTGTTTCTCACTGCAAGCTTCCCTTCACTTTTATTTTCACTACTTCTTGTCTGACTGACAGGAGCCAAATGAAACTCTTTTACTGGCAGTCTTAATACGAACAACAAAGCAACTGGAGCTGTAAAGCATCACTTCTTGGCTAAAAACAAGCAGTGAGTGTACAATGTGGAGGAAGGAGCAGGAGGAAAGGGAACTGCTAGGTTTCAATTTTCTTTTTCTGAAACGTTAAACATAAGTGAAGGTAATCTGCCAGAAGATGGGTCTAAAACATGTGTTTTAGATATCAAAAAAATGCCAGCCAGAGTTTCAGAAAAGAAACCAACCAGGTGACTGTCCTTTCCCTCATTTAGGAGAAAGACCTGAACAATTTGCTTGAAGGCAGCACAAAGACGGTTGCTACAATTCTCCCAAGATTATAATAATACAATAGCCTTGTTAGACTACTGATAGGATTGTCCTCAACAATCAGCCTTCCCCTTCCTCATCTGCATTTCCACTTAAGAGCAACACAGAAAGAGAGGAAATGTAAGGAGACAAAAGGGCTGGAGCTTAGGAGGAGAGAACTGCAGGACTGCTGCTGGACGACAGGCCTGGTGCCTTTGTCAGATGCCAGAAGGTAGAAGCCTGAGGGAGCACAGACCTGGGATGGGTCACACCTGGCACAGCAGCAAAATTTCCAGGCATGACTGTCCTTCCCACTAGCAGAAGAGCTAGAACCACAACATGGATGATGGGAGGATGGGTTTTCTGGGTGACCCTCATGTTAACCAAAGTAAGTCAAGGAGCACAGCTATGGTGCAAATCCTGACTTCTTGCTGTGTTTTGTAAATTCCCATATATCCTTTTTTTCAAATGTTGAGTATTGTCATTAATTTTAATTAGATTAGCTCTAACATTGCAGTTAGAAGCATTCTCTTAATATAGCAGAAGAAAATGAACCAGTTTGCTCTCTCTAAATACTTTGTCATTTTAAGTGGAGTACCAGGAGGAAAAAAAAACCCACAGAACAAAACAAAAACGAATGTCACGTTACAAATGCAATGAAAAAACAGCAACATCAATTCAGCCAATGAAAAATACATTTCTGTTGATGCTCGAGGGCATATGAAAAGTGTTAAAATATATGAGTGAGGAAATGCTCTCAGTCAGATGTACAAATGACAACGATTTGGGGAAAGATTCAAAACATTGTGAAAGAAATTCCAACAGGCATCAACAAGCAGAACAAATATACTTTCTCAGACACGATGTCTGGGAGGTTTCACAGTAGCTCATTTGGCCATATGAGGTGATGATATATCAGGAGATAATGTTTCTACAATCCCAGCCTCTGCAGAAAAATAAAAAAAAAAAAGGAAAGGGATATTAAAATTTGTAGCAACGATGCTTCTCTTCTTGGTTTTGGATGAATCAGTCACATCGAATTTTCTGTTTGTCACTAACTTAACTGTATATTTCCCCTTGGTATGTGTCTACCACCCGTTGCAAAGAGTAGTTTCTACTTAACTCTTTTATTTTCTTTAATATGTCATATTCAGTTTCATCACAGTTTTCAAAACACATTTTGTTTTCTTGTATGGACATAACACTATTTTCTATTCCTCCTAATATAAACTTTTCACATGTTTTTTCGGTATCTGCTTCAATTTTTTTTCATAGTGATGGTGCACTTTGCATCACAGCCAGTACTAAACCACCAAAGGTTTTCTTCTGCATAGTGACAGGTTCACCGTGGGTAAGGGAGATGTAGTAGCTCTTAGGTGGAGCTGTACTTCCCAGTTTGGGTGCTATTTGGCTTCAGAATCTAATTTAAAACCAAGCATGTTAGCAGCAGTGACCTCAGCCCATGCATAATTCAGACCCTACCCCACTTCAGGGAAACAACTGAACTGCTGCCTCAGTACTACCGATATTATCACAGGGTCTGGTCCTAAGATACTATGTGCAATAGAAGAAGCCCCAGAAAAATCAACATCTTGCTTGCTTGGATATTGTTTAAAGGTTGCAAGGCTGCAACCTCCTTCTCAGAGGACCTCTGTAACACAGCTTTTCCTGTTGACTCTGCAAAAAATTGACAATAGAGGTAGCTGGCAGCTTGGTACATGTGATACCAGGCTTTGTCTGCTTGTTACTGCTCTCATGTAAGAGACTTGGTACCTATCTTATTCAGGTCAATTTTTTCAGCTCTTTGACTTGGAAGGATCCTTGACTGTGTATAATTTGTTGCAGTTGTGAGTTATGGCACCATGAGGAGCGCTCTCCACAAATTTGCAAATGGCACTGAGCTGGAGGGGGAGCAGCCAGTGTGCTGGAGGGCAGGACTGTGAGTCTGAAGGACCTGGTCAGGCAGGAACCTCACAAAGTTAAGAATGCAGATTCAAACCTTGCACCTTGAAGGGGATTATCACATGCCCCAGCACAGGCTGGGGTATGACCAGCTAGGAAAGAGCTCTGAGCAAAAATGACCTGATGATCAAGATGGGCAGCAAGCTGAACAAACACCAATAATGTGCCCTGGTGGCAATAAAGGCCAACAACATCTTGGCTTGTCTTAGCAAAAATGCAACCAGCAGGTCCAGGAGGGTGATCCACCACCTCTATTCAGGATTTGTGAGACCATTTCTGGAGCATCCTGTCCAGAATTTTGGCTCCCCATCGCAAGAAAGGTACAAACATACTGCAGGGAGTCCTGCACAGGGTAATAAGGGTCATCAGAGCACTCCTATGCATAAGAAGCTGAGAGAGATGGGATTATTGAGCCCAGAGAACTAAAGGCTCAAGAAAATCTTACTATCAGAAGACACAAAAACGATGGTGCCAGAAGCTTCATAGAGGTGCATGGTTTTGGGACACGAGATAACAGGGAAAAGTAGAACAGAGTAAATTCTGATTAGAGATTAGAAGCTTCCATTACCAGAAGTGCATTCAAACACTGTGGCACCAGGGCACCAGAGAGACTGTGGGATTTCCATCCCTGGAAACATTCAAGCCTTAAGTGAACATGGCCCTAAGCAATCTGATCTGATTAGATTTGGTTTGGAGCAGTAGATTGGACTAGATGATTACTGAAGGTACACTTTCAAACTAAGTTATTCTTTGAGTCTTTGGTCTATGGATGTAGTAGTACAATGGGTGAGAAAGAAAGTGACAAAAGAAACATAGAGAAGATAGGAGAAAAAGTGGGGGAAAAAAGAGAAGCTATAATGGTTAAAACACAAATTAGAAAAAAATCGAACTAACAAAAGAAACACCACAAAACCAAAACAAAACCTAAAACAAAACCAAACAAAACCCAAACATAAAAACAAACAAAACAGAAAAAAACTAGAAAGGATGAATGCTGATGCTGAAGTGTTATCCTAAGAACATCTTTGCTTAGAAATGGGATGTCATTTCAGAAGTTGACTACTACAAGGCTCACTTTTTTACCATCTTTAAGTATCTTGGAAGTATACTACTCATTGTAAATGCTTTAATTTAGAATTCTTCTATTCTAAGAGCAATTTTATATGTAGAATAATATATTGTACTTTAAAATACATTGTTGTTCCAAAGTGTGACACTTAAAAATCTGGAAATGACAAGATTTAGACCGATTTATTTCAGGTGTTTCTGCATATGTTCTGAATAATGTAAATGGTGGTGTGCTAATTAATACATGAGCATGAGCTATGCTTCCAGATGATTCTTACTTCTCCAAGGAAATGAAGAAGGCATACAGTAGTTCTTAGAACCTTTACTATTTATTTATTGCATTTTACCTCTATCCTGACTTTTGATTGAATACAACAGTATTAATTCTCTTGGGATACTTCCATGGTCTTTGTGACTTTAGCATATGATTTCTCATAAACAGTAATGAACATATCTGTTAGATTTAGAGATGATATATTTTTTCTTGTTTTGTAAGACAGACTTCAAGTGCAGACTGATCGAGACCCATCGAAACTGCCCACTGATGGTAAGACATATTTGGGTGCTTTGCACCTGGCATTTGGCTTTAACAAGCTTTTAATTACATGTTAAAAATATCCTTGCAATTGATTTAATTTTTCCAGTATGAGTTCCCAACTTGAATCCAGGCAAGTCATTCAGACATTTCAAAAGATTACATATTTTTACAGAGGAAAGCACATTGTGTGAAATTGCACTGAACCACAGCTCATGTCATCAGCAAAGGTCAGGTCTTCATAGTGACATAGAGGAGATCCTTATCACTTGAACTAATAGCTTCAGTAGCCGTTCCTTCTGTGGACTGACTGCCCAGGGAGGCAGGGCAGATTTTTCCAGTTGATTTCATATCCATTCACCATAGGAAAAGAGATAGTCACAATACTTCTTAAGTCACAGACAGATTTCCGAGGCAATGGTGCTTGTTACTTTGTTATGAACTCTGCTATTTCGACTTTTGCTTGCTGTCTCTTCCCATTTTGCCTCTATGCACTTAATCTTGCCTGTACATTCATGCTGTCTCTGCCTTCTTTCCAGCTCTCTGTGAAGCCCAGGCTGCCTTGCTAACCCTTGAACTCCCAATGTCAGATGGTGCCTTAAGACTGAGAGGTCCTGCCACGTGGGCTGTTTTTCCCATACTCCTTGAGCATAATGTCTTTGGGGTGGGCAGACATCTCCCCATTCTTTTCCACTCCCAGAGCGGGCTCTAGTGTGCTCTACCACGTCCACTGGGAACAGTAGGTGGCCAGAAGGTGGAGGCTGGAGCATCACTGAGCATCCATTTGCTAGTATATTGTTCATTCAGTCACAGGAACTGTAAATGTGTGCAGCACACTCACTACAGATGAATTCTTTGGAGAATGTAAGATACAAACACATCCCTCCTGAGCATAGCACATGGTACTGCAGCGAGCACGTTGTGGTTAGGTTTGTGTTGGGGGGGCTGTATGTCAACCTTCTGCTTCTCACTGGGAAAAATGTTGAAGTCTTTGGAGGATTTTTTTTTATAGACAGTGAAAATGTCTATTTTTCAGACTACATATGACTGAACTTCAGATGGAACTTTTAAACAACAACAACAAAAAAATCAACCCGAGGATAGTATCTTGTAGAGGCAACTCCAGCCCAAACTGCAAAGGTTTAAAAAAGTAAAGCAAATTCAGTCTCTGTTGCCAGAAAGTACTGGCAACATTAACTATAGATGCCAATGTTATTTCTGTGTATATTATCATAAGTTTTCATATAATCTGGTAAACTGTTTACATTTTTATTAAATACTAGAACAGAACCAGGATTCTGCAGTTCATGCAGTTTAAATAGGTGTCTTCAGCTTGGCATGCCTATGCTCTTTGTCAATTTTTTAAAATCCTTTCTCATTTTTCTTTAAATTGTACTTGCTACCTTCTTCCAATAATTAACATTTTACGTTTGGGAGGCAATAGAAGCATGACTCAAACAAACAAATTGGCTTATGTATTAATGCCTGGTATAGACCTACCAAAGTAATATCAGACATTAAAAAACTCAAACAAACCAACAAACAAAACCAACCAAATCAAAACCACCCCACACCAAAAAACCAAACCAAAACCCAGCAAACTCCACAAAACCCCAACCCTTCCAAGTTGTAGCAGGAACAGGTCAAGGAAATGCATTTCTTATTCAGGATTAGTGACAAACTGGTGTTATTTGATTCACAGATACTTATGACCAAGAGCCCTTTAGAAATACACTCACCTTTTGCAAACATCACACTGTCTGTTTATGTGCTCTGAGACACATACTATGGTATCAGGGTACTGAGCTTTGGTTCTTGTGCTTTTAACAGAAGAGGCATCTAAACAGAAAAGGAGAAATTGTTGCAATATGTGCAAGTGTTCTCTAGTATAACACCGCTGGGAAAATGGGACTAAACCTCCTATGCTAACTCCTAGGAGCAGCTCTAAGAGCAAAGCTGTTTGTGGTCTGAGAAGTTTGCCATGTAAATAATACTCTTTCTTTCTGTTTCAGCCTTGAACTGTAATCAGGGTAGAATGCAGCTTTGAAGAAAGTTGTGCAAACCATTAAGGTTTAATTCCGCACCTTTTGAAATTAATGTGAACATTCCTATAACTAGCAGAAAGATCAGGAGCTTAGAAAGAAAAATGAATTTTTGAGAGGAAAAAAAAAAAACCACAATCTAAATAATATTAATAGGGATATAATAATTAGCACTTAATGGAAAATATTTTTCCTGTTTCTTCACTAGATGATGGCTATTCTGGCTTGATTTTTCTCTTCCCACTTTACAGTTCTCCCTCAAATGTAAGCAGCAGCATTCCCTTTACAATATGAGGGTTTAATCTCCCTTCCTCTTCCTTTTTTAATAATCCTTAATAGACATCATACTCTACCTTGGTGCCTATGTGTGTTTCTATTTTATGAGGAAGAGCTGCTTTAGACAGTGAATTATACTAGTACCTTGTTTAATAACTAACCTAAACATTTGCCCTTGACATTCTCAGCACCTCAGTGCTAATTAACTAAAATAAACAGAGACTAAATGGAAAGCGGGTGAAGTACTTATCCTTAGCTCAAAGATTTAATTTGGGATCAGCAACGCTGCTGACGGCTGAGGGAAGCGGGAATTGCAGGTAAGTCCGCACACGAATAATGAAACGCTGAAATTTTTTATTTTTTTTTTAAAACCCTTCCGCTAATAACTTGTGATTTAAAGGTCACTTCAGAAGAAGAATCAAGGTCAGACACCGCTAATCCTGCATCCAAGGCAGCCTTTCCTTTCCCATAGTCCAAACTCGGGAAGATGCCGCCGAGGGCGCGGCGGGGCCGGGGCTGCGGAGCCCGGGACACCCCGAGGCTCCAGCGGGGACGGAGGCACTCCAAGCACAGGGAGCTGGGCGCTTTCCGGCGGCGGGGGAAAGTTCCCCAAAGTTGGCCCCGGCGGGGCGGGGCGGAGCGGAGCCCGCGGCGCCCCCGCCCCTTCCCCGGCGGAGCCCGGCCCGGGCCGCCCCGGCAGGGGCGGGCAGGGGGAGGAGCGCGTCGGGCCGGGCTGGGTCGGGCGGCGCTGGAGGGGCTCGGGAGCTGCTGCACCTGATACACCGGGGCGGGAGCGCAGGGAGGGAGGGAGGGAGCGGCGCTGCCCTGCCCGCCGCCTGCGAGAGCCTCTCCCCGCCGTTAGTCAGCGCTGGTCTCGCTGCCTCTCCCTCCGCCCGCCCCTTCTGCGCGGAGCTGGGCTCTCGCTCCTGTTCCCCTCGGGGCCGGCGGCAGCGCGTCCACCTCCTCCTCCTCCTCCTCGTTTCCCCTGGGCCCCCATGGCTTCGGCCGGCAGCGGCATGGAGGAGGTGCGCGTCTCGGTGCTAACCCCGCTGAAGCTGGTGGGGCTGGTGTGCATCTTTCTGGCGCTGTGCCTGGACCTGGGAGCCGTGCTGAGCCCCGCCTGGGTGACGGCGGACCACCAGTACTACCTGTCCCTCTGGGAGTCCTGCCGCAAGCCTGGCAACTTGGACAGCTGGCTCTGCGAGTCGACGCTGCACAGCGGTGAGATACGGCTGCCCTGGACACCCCTGGATCCCTCCGGCCCCCCTCCGCTCCCCTCCGCCCTCGGCGCCCCGGCCGTGCTGCTGCCTTCACTCTGCCTGGCCCCGGCCCTCCTTCGGTCCTTTTGCCTTTCCTCCCTCCTCGACCGCCTCCCGCTCCCCGGGCACTGAGAATTATTCCCCTTCCAGCTGCCCTGGCTGCCCCGCCAGCATCCCCCAAGCCGCCTCTCCTTCACCCTTGTCTCCTTCGGGACTGTATCGCAGCCCCTTCCCGGGGTCAGCCACCCCCCTCCCCGGATCGGAGCAGTGCCCAGGGACCTGCCCCGCCACCTCCGCTGCCCCTGCTGGTTCCCCGCCTCGCCCGCTGCCGCCCTTGCTCCCCGTGCCGGGAAAAGTCACCGGTACCTTTGTCCTCCTGCTCTCCGCACCCCTCCCCTTCCCGAGCCTCTTCGTCCGTCCCCATCCTCCTCCTCCCTGCCTGCCCGCTTGCCCTCCCCAGGCTGCGCACCCCGAGCCCGCATCTCTCCGTCCGCGGGCTGGGGCGGCGGCGGGGGCGGTGGTCCCTGCGAGCGGCGTGTGCTGGAGGGGGAGCGCCGCGCTCAGCTCGTCCCTCTGCATGCGAGATGGCTCAGAGGGCAGGAGAGATGCGAGGCTGGCTTCTGTGAGCGAAAGGGATGGACGGTTCCGTATCTACCTTTTGTTGTCACAAAAGATCCCGAGTTTGGACTAGTTTTGCTTATTTTTTCCGTGTGGCGGCTTTCCTATACAGTGAGAAGCTGTTTGATATCGAGTATCTTGTAATTCCCCTCCGCCCCCATCCCCTGAAGTCACTGGTCTTGGAAAGTTGGGGCTTCTTAAACCAAAACTGGTTGTTTGTCCAGAGTGGAGACGCCTGGGCTCTGACTCTCTCCATCAACCCGGGTGTGCTTGTGTGTGTCTTTCTCTAGCAGGTACTGATCTTCCCATCGTCTTTCATGCTCCTTTGCCTTCATGCCACACTCCCCGTTGTGATTTCTTGATGCTCATTCCCTCTTCACCTTTCTAGTTCTTTGATCATAGCTTGTTATTTTTTTCCATGTCATTTCACTATTGCTTGGAGTACTTCAAAAACAGGTTGTGAATTATAAAAACAAGCTGCCTGTTGAATATTTTTCAGTAAATTCTTTTGTAGTACGGTAATTGTTTTGGTTTTCATGGGTGGTTTTATTTACTTTATGCCTGATAGCAACTTCTGGAGCCCCAGCAGAAACAGTGACAAATGCAGCCAGCCTCCCCCCACGTCGTTTTCATCCCCATCCCTGTCCTCCACACACACACACGCTTGCATTGCTAAATCATCCATTTGGATCGCAGTGCTCTCTGGTTGGGTAAATCGTGCAGGGACAAGATATTTGTCTTGGGAACGAAAACAAGGGAGTGACTATATTCTAGATGTGTTCTGTTTTCCTCTCTTTTCTGAAGTCTGAGAATAGGTTCTGGGAGATAACTGTTTTCTGCTTGAGTAGGAATTGCACAGGTTCCTTTACTGCTGGGCTTTTTTTTTTTTTTTTTTTTTTTTTTTTCCCCTGTCGTGTGCAGTAATATTTAAGGGTTTGGATGTTGCTTGGGATTTTGTTTTGAATCACATAACGCTGAGATGTATTGTAAAGAAATGTCGGTTTCAGTCAGTTACCAGGGTATCTACACAAAGTTTGGAGTGCTTTCTTTTTCTCCCCTGGTATAAATGGAAATTTATGTAGGAATGTCAGCTTCTACGTGTCTCCTTAGCAACGTGAATCCTTTGCCCCTTCTCCCTGTCTCCTGAAATAGTATCCCCTTGATTGCAGAAAGACTTTTCAGATGTCTTGAATGAGAACCTGCTTCAAATCCCCCCTCCCCATCCCGACTCCGCACACACTTTGTTGGGCTCCCCCCTCGATCCGTCTCCCTGTCACGCATGCGTGTGTACACACACATGCACACAAAAGTGGGACGTTAAGGAAAGCAGGACAGCTTATGGAACAGCATGAAAGGACACTAATCTCTCGTGTTCCTCTGTTGGTCACCTGCCTGTCTGTGGGAAGGTGGAAGATGAATGGATGAGGACGGATAGGAATGAGATGTAGTTTTGTTGGATGCTACGTGTTGAAAATCTGTCCTTTCCTGGTGATTTCTACTATCATGTGCACAGATTCTTGCCTGTCCAGTTTTATTCAAGGTCCTTGAATGAGCTTTATCCATTTTCCTCAGATACTTTCCAGTCTAGTGGAGGCAGGTTTCACAAGCTACTGGTGAAGAAGTGAATGATTGTTTCACTTGAGGTGACTGGAATAAACCCTTCACTTTCCTCATGTTTGGCACACAATGCTGCATTCTGCAGACCTGAAATATGAGAAACTGCACCATTCTCCCTTTGCCTTATGCTAGTGTGTTGCAATGCCATTAAAGTCAATAGGTGGGCTCCCACCAAGTTCACCAAGTTGGATTGGGCTCACATTTGAGACCCATTTTGTGTGCTTGCCTTTATATTTTAAGTGCACTTTCCTCCTACATTGAGAATCTAGCGAGCAGTGTATTTTGGAGATAGTGGAGAGCTCCCACAGGGAAAAGCTCTTTTAGTTTGATACTAGTGCAGGCAGCTTTGCAGCTAGCTAGCTGTGAAAAGCAGTAATACACACAGGAAAAAAGGCATCTTCACCCATGGTTTTAAGAGATTTACTTCATCATCCCTTGAAGGAGAGCACCTCAAGTGGCATCATCAAGGGCAAGCTCCTGCTAGAAGCTGTTAAAGCATATCCGAGGTTTAATTAAAAACTTTTGTTGTAATTAGATGTAGGACTCCTGACTGCTGTCAAAAGGGCAACTTGGTAGTGGAGAGCAGAAGGAAATGTACAGAGCATGATTGCATTGGCTGGAAATAATCCCTCATTTTTCCTTGAGCTTTGCAAGTGTTTGGAGTATGTGTTCTCACGTTCATTCTTTCACTGTTCAGATGGCTTTTTTTATAACTTGCATGAATTTTATTTTGTTGTTGTAATTGCAGGAGCTGGAAAGGTATTCTTGCATAAGCCTTGTCTTCCTCTTCCCTAGATGAAATTCTAAAATTCCCACTAACAGCAGCTTCAGGAGCTGAAAAACTAACAAAGTTGCCAGTGTGGAAAGCTTTCTGATAAAATGTTGAGATCCAGAAATGCAGCTGTAAAGCTTCACCAACTGTCTGGGCATAAAACTATTTTCTATGATCAAAGCTTAACTTGGCTAATGCATAAGTTATCTTTAGGTCAGCTCTATATTAAACTTGTGTGTCTTTCAACAAATTTTTTTTTTTTAGACCTTATTTGAAATGCATTATATCTAATTCATGATGGTTCATTTACAGATTTATCAAGAGTTATTTAGCAATATTTGTCTTTCACAGCATTAAAATTGAATGCATCCCATTTACAACTGCCTGTTGTGTCTCTACATGTAGAGGTACTTGTCTTCTTCCTGCAGAATTAGTAACAGTAAATTTGAATTTGTGCAATAGACTATAATCAATATAGCTCTTTCAATCAAAGATACACAAATATGATGTGGAAGAAATAAATGGCTCCATAGAATCTGATCTGCAGGTAAACACTCTGTATTTTGACTTCAGTACATTTATATGCTATTCATAGAAAACAGCAGCTCCTTTGCAGCATTTCGGTTTATTGTGAAAACAGCATATATAAAAATACATTTGAAGGGTTTTGTACTGATTAACTGTATTCACTCTGGTGAATGTGGGAGTATATGGCTTTGTTACTTTACAACCTATGCATTTCCTTATGCAATGTTCAGTTTTCTTTAAGAATATTGTGCTCTTTTAGAACTGTCCATGAGTGTTTGAAAGACAAAACATTCTCAGGGAAATACAATGCAACAGGGTCTCTGAATGTGCTTAAACTTTGTGATGAACAAACCAGGAAGGTAAGCTTAGCTTACAGCACAGTGCAGTAAACAACTTGAGTCTAGTTTTATGCTTGTAATTTTGTTCAAATTTGTTCTTAAAATAAAAATAGCATCAGAAGCTGTTCATTCGGTAGCACTTCAAGGGGCTTAACCTTAATTATACATTAGATGCAGATATCTGAATTGACATGCCTGAATCGTCTTGGATGATATCTCCTTGTTTGGAATTTAAGGAGTTGTTCCAAGGGGAAATTGCTAGCTCAAAAGCAGCTTCCTCATTAGAAGATCTGGATCATTGCTCAGATTTGATGTTGACATGTGTTTGTAAAAAGCTCAGCAAGGCTGGTAGTTTGTTTTAAAATAACATAAGAAGAGCTAATGTAATTTTACTAACCTGAAAAAAGTGGCTCATACAATGTAAGGAGGAATGAATAAAACATTCCTTCTGGTTTTGAAAAATGTAGTCTATAATTTTGTGTATTACTCTAATAATCATCTCCAACACTGTATCTGAAGGTGGATATAAAATCAAAAGCCATACTACTTCAAACTCAGGTTCTAAGACTCTGATTAAGCTGACCTAACTTTGAAGTTGAGTCTGAGTTGGAGATTGGCCCTGTTTTCCATGGGGAGCTCAACTAGATGACTTCCAGAGGTCCTTCCCAACCTAAATTATTCTGTGATTCTATGATGGCTGATACCCTCTTTATGCCTGATGTCTACCTGGCTTCTTCAACCTGTGCAGAATGCCTTGAATTGGTTAACTACCCCTCACAATAGCCCTTGATAGACTATTTTAAGATATGCTCCCTCTTCTACAAACACACCAGTTATTTTAGCCTTAGACTTCCCAAGGCCATGCTCTGTGGGTGCAGCAGATCTGTCACTCCTGCTCAGCAGCCTGGACCTTTTAGTATGATAGAGGCCACCACTTCAGCCACTCTTCTCCAACCAGATGAGATGTGGTTAGAACATCTATGTGTAATACATGAGGTTTGTGTGAGTTTATCTTATCATGTGAAGAGCACTGAGCACCTTATCAGTGATAATACTCTTTAAAAAAAAAAAAGGGAGACGACTTGTAGCTGTAATGGGTTTATTGTTACTGCTGTTGTTCATTGCAGTTTTAAAATCAATAACGTATCCCACTGTGTCAAGATTTATTAAATAAGATCTTCTTTCTGTTAGGGATAATACAAGTAGTTTTAATATTTGATGAGATTTTTATATTTAGAACTGCATAGAGTGATCTTGCCTCTGTTACTAATTTGTGGCCTAAGTTGACCATGTAAGATTCAAGGTAATAAGCAGGAGGAGGGCTAAAGTTCATCCAGCTGTATTTCTTTGTGTTTCACTTATTCCAGTTCTGTAATGTAAAGGCCATTGTTTTGATGAGAAGTACTCCAGAAACTCTTTTAAATGCTAATTGTTTTTCTTAAGGAAAAATGGAATGAGTTTTGAAAATTGCAGAGTATTGCCAGTTTGCTTGAGGAACACTACTAACTGTGGAAAATAATTACATTCCTGTTCAGTTGCAAAGCACACTACTTCAGATTGCTAAAAAGTAGTAGCATATACAGAAGAGGTCAGAAAAGCTGGGCTTTTCATGAAAAGCTTGTATAACACATCTCCCACTCTTCTTTCCTAATGACATAATTTTAAGATTTCCAGGTTTTTGTGAAGTTCTTG